CTTATATTCATATTATAATACGTATAGTGTAAAAAAGTGATAATTAGGTATAACAACCTTGCTATAACATCTATAACTTTCTATTACATTCTAATAATGATGCAGTGACTTTTTCTAACAAATCAGTAGTTTGCTAGAAACTACCCAAATATGTGAGTTTAAGGCGGTTGAATAATATTAACTTATGAAAAGGAGCACACCTCTTTCGTGTTTATACGAAAACATGCGTGTAAACATGTATATATATACATATTTAAAGAATAGATTTTTAAATTGTTATATAGATTTAATAAAGTAAAGATAGGCATACTAAAGATATGCTGTGCTTATACAAATATTTGGTAAAATAATTTGCATAAGTTTTATGACACAATATACCAACCATGGTAATGTACCCTGCACCAATTCTTCATAAAAATAACAACAAATTTCCAAAAGCACCTGTCTTGACATTGGTGAGAATAATTTAGCTCATTAATTTGAGTAGAACCGTTGAATATGTTGATACAAACAGCATCCAATTGTCCATGGTAAAACTTGATCAATATTTTGTGGTTACAAAGCTTCCTACTGTTTTTAAAGGACTCAATCTATTAATCTCATGACTAATCCGAAACCTAGTGCCATTAAGTTCCAGCTGAAATAAGTAAGGTTAACTTAAGGTCAACATAAAACTTCAACGCTCAAAATTTCCTTTTCTCGACATACATGTTATGGCATTTTTGGGAATTGGCAGGGATGTCACACGAAAGAAATATTTGGCAGGGGGCAGACACGAATTTCCCAACTATATTACTCGAATTTCTAAACTAATAAGGATTAAGTTTTAACAGAATGAAGAATAATTTTCCTTTGAAGCCTCTATATAGCTTGCATACAAAAATAACAAGAAATTAATTTTTCTCAGTATAGAGCTGAATGTCCCTACACTGTACTGATCAATAATACATTTAGTCTATCAGCCTCATGAAATACACTTTTTATAGATCTCAGTGCTTTCCCTAAAAGCCTTGAATTAGTGTTTTACGTTAGGTAAGTTATTTAACATGTGATATTTCCAACACTTTTTTCCTGTAGTTGTTAATTTGTACAGAAGGGTAGATATCTGCACTGCTTAGTTTGAAAATAAACCTTTAAGTTGGCAGTTTAACGACGGTTTAAAACTTCCCCAAAATCTTCAATCATAGCTTCAGATTCCCAAAGAGTCCCATCTTTTACACTTAGATGATTTGAGGGGTTGACCCCCCCTCCATCCATGGGTGACGTACATGTGAATTTTTTTCATTTACAAGTTGAAAGGTTTTGCAACAAATTATGTCGACGGTAAATTTCCTACGGTTACGAATTCTTCGTTTGTTTTTTTGTAGCTCAATATTAAATTGTGATGCCACAGACAAACTTTTGGAAAACCATCAATGTATATTCAAATAAAGTGTTTCTGTAATGGTTTTCTTCTGTTTTAAATTTACCGGTTTCAAAACCATCATTAACTCTGAAGCTTAAATATTACTCTCATCTACTTAAACAATGAAAGTACAATGTACCAACAACAATTTGCTCACTTTAATATGACTATTTTAAGCAATTACCTAACTAAAATATTACCTCATATTAATATTACTGTGTATTTACCATATATTAATATAACGGTGATTTATTTATTGTGTCATGAAAGAAAACAAATACACGAAATATTTCCAAAAGTTTGAGTAGGCCTACACCCTGTATAAATCCAACCTACAACATAATTTTAGACGCTAATTTTAACAGTGAATTGTAAATTACAAGGTAATCGTAGACTCCATATACCATAGAGATATTTTGCTTTAGCAATTTTGGGGCTGCTGAAATAAAATGTTTAACCTGGCTGAGAGAGCCGGGCAGTATTATTGATTTAGTTTCATTTTAAAGTTTAACGTATTATCCTTAAACATCATGTACCAATTACTGTAACGCTCTACGTTTGTTTTCCAGCCAGGCCTCTGAATGTTTAACGTAATTTCCACCTAACATTGACATTGGTGTTCAAAATTTAATAGATTATGTTGACAAAAGCTAATATATACAGTTACAAATATTTGTTTTTAATTCATATAAATATAAGTTATTAGTTTTTATATTAATAATAAATTTTATTCCTATAAAAGTGTATTTAAATATCTTTTAACAATGTATTGCAGTATAGTAATCATTAATGGCATTTCCCATATCAAATAAAGCATTGTTATCATATTCCTAAGACCTCTTAAACAGAAAGAGTGATGATTCTATGTTTAATAGTCTTTTGAATTCAAAATAAATCTCAAACTAGTGGAACCCCGTCGAAATCGACGGTTAATCTTGAGGTTTTATGTACATTCAGCTAATTGCGATAGATAGAGTGAAGTCATTAAAATCTTAGTTAAATGAAGGGAAGATAAGCAATAATAAGTATGACGATTGTGTTCCCTAAAAAACGTGATTGATGAATTCGTTTAACACAATATTTCCTACCTTTTTATCGGCTTTAGGTTGCCCAAAAGGTTTTTTATGAGTCTTATAATTGTTTGTTCATGAGTTTGTTTCATGTCAAAGCCACTTTCACTATATGGGAGAAGGAGTTCATATAATTAGTCTATCATGTTACGGAAAGAGTCAATATTACTAACAACTAATTCTATCTGCTTTAGTAAAATGATTCAGATTGTATCCGGATTTATAAGTAAATCTTCATCTTTGGACATAAAAATACAGAATTTTATCAGCATATTAAATTAGTTTTTTTTTTATTTGATAAAAATATCTGATTCTCCAGAAAGCAGTAACATTCTTACTTCGATTCAAGCAATTTTAATTCCTTCTCTTGCCACGTCGACCCATGTATTTAATCATCCTGTACTTACTTGATAATTCGTTAACCTATGGGGTAGGTTTGTCTTGGCCATATAGATCACATAAAGTTGTGCATGTATTTCGTGGATGGAATGAACCATAATTGTAGGAAATTTGATCACAAAACTTGAACATTTGCGAAACCAAATCCATAACCTAGTCCAGCCTTGGTAACAAACTATGCAAATGCGATGAGATGTAAAGACACTGTTGTGTTTCCGAATGTTTTGTATATGGTGAGGTTTAGATGCGTTGTTCGACCTAGCTACATGTGTACATCAAAGTAAAAACCCTGTACAGATTTTTTTTAATACCTGAATTGACAACTACTTCACCAAAACCATAGATGAAACATACTCCGTAGTTAGTCTATTTTAAAACTTGAACACAGCTCTCATCCTCAACGTACTCATCTATGACACAATTTTCAACCCGATTATCGAAAACTTTTATACCAATAAATTAATTTCTGGTGTACTTTCTTGAATTAAAAATAAACGGTGATTGAAAGTTGGCAAAAAAGGCAAGTGCCAACCTTACAATATATATAAGCTAACCCGATAAGGAATAATTATATATTTCTTCGAAATTGATGTCACACTTATTTCATAATTTAAAATTTTCTAAGAGCAATGAAGCATAGATTTTTGAACAAAACATTTAAAACGTATAATAAATTCCTCATTTTGTTGAAACTATAAAAAACTTGCCCTGTAGTGGAGAATCTATTTCAAATCATAAATAATAATGTAAACATTTAATTTTGACAGTTTCAGTAGACCTTTGAATACAATTTCAATATTAACAGCTGGTTCATTAAAAGTAGTGTAAAATTATCCATATGGTCTTAATGTAAACAAAATTGCAGAGTGAACTTTAAAGGCCTCTGGGGCAGAGCCCCAATGAAATTTACCTTGTTTCTCTTTTGATGGCTCACCTACAGACCAATGCCTTTCTTTAGACACCCCTACCAAGTTTTTACGCCCAGCCGTTCTCTCAAATTAGCTGTGACAAAAACCCCGTTTTCCTCCATAAGAATAACATGGGATGGGAATTTAAAGGCCACTGGGGCAGAGCCCCGAGGGAATTCACCATGTTTCTCTTTTGATGGCTCATCTACAGACCAAGACCTTTCTTTAGACACCTCTACCAAGTTTCTACACCCAGCCATTCTCTCAAAATAGCTGTGACAAAGAAAAACAGTTTCAAATTAATATAAAGATTAGCAAATAAACCACGTTTGATAGCTCATATAGTTTACAATTCCACACTCTAATATACAATTCTAAGTCGAATATTTCAATCATTTTTCTATCCCCGTACTTGGAGTCGAGGCGTTGAGAGGCCAAGGGAGATATGTGACTTTTTAAAAAATGTTGTCATGGTAACGGGTTTTGTTAAAAAAGGGTGGAATTTCAACAAATAATTCACTTATATCCCCTGGCCTCCAAACTAAACACCTAAGAGTTGGAAGCCAAGGGGTATAAGTGAATTTATTTTTATTTTTATTTTATTTTTTATGACTATGAAAAAAATACAATGACATTTTTTAAAAAGTCACATATCTCCCTTGGCCTCTCGACGCCTCGTATACACTTTTATTTTGTAAAGGCAAGAAAATTAAAGAACAAATGATAACAAGTAACAAATGTTATTCCGTGTGGTATTAGTGGAGCTAGTTCGTCGTTAAACAATAAGTTAAACAGTCTTAACACTCTGAACTATAATCTAGTCCTTAAATGTTTGTATAGTGGTTTATTTTACCTTGTTACTTTCCAAACCGATGGAGCACATCATCAGGTCTGAAGTCATTAAATATTCTGCGTGGTGGAATTATGATTTTACTAATAGACTTTTGACGAACCCCACCACGAGGAATATTTAATTACTAATTGATATTCTTCAGGCCTGATGATGTGCTCCATCCGAAGCACAAAACAGCTGTTGTCATAACAAACTAGAAAGGATAGTTTTGGACACTATCATGGATTCAAACCCGATTCAGAGCTATAAAAGTCCCACTCTTTTCTTTGACCAGTCACAAAAAAGTAATAAATAACTTGAAACAGTTTAAAACTACCCCATTAGCTAGAACATACAGGATAGCCTATTGGATAATTAAAAAATGGTCATATTAGATTATCATTTATTGATTCTTCCTTTACAAAGCGATTTAGAATGCAAGATTTTTGAGAGCACCCAAGACATCGGCACGGTGTTGCTTCTTGGAGTAGACATCAACATGATATACCATTCCAAACCCTTGGGTAGGGTTGGGTCCATAAAAGACTACATCTTCCTGGGTCATGTTGAAAGATAAGGGAAGGCGGTGTTTCTCAAACTCATAGAAGTTCAAGTTGTCCTCTGGTACTTCTGGGTCAATCTATGAGACATTAACGCAAAGTAGAGGTGGACATTTAAATTGGTGAGATTCTTATAAACTCTACATTTAAATTTTAGTTGCAGTTTTGTAAGACAGTTTTAATGTTCTATCTGAAGTTCTAAAATTTTCAAGACAGTTTTTGTATTAATTGGTTTTATATCAGGTTTCTATATCAGTGTTAGTTAAATATTAAGCGTGCAGTGTCATTACTACGTTCTAGTCTTTCAGTGAGAAATACTTCTTATTGGCGTATTAACGCTTTTTACAGTTGATTATTAATAACGACAAAAAAACAAAAATTGTAATAATGTAAATATTATGAATTTCAAATTAACGTGACTCTTACTGGAATATTAAGATTGTAGTTAACCTAAATATTGTGTCAAGCTGGGAGATAATGGAGAGACTACCAGTTGTATTTCGACACGGGAAAACATATGTGAGGTGAATTAATTATAATATTTGCGAATGCATAATGCAAATATTTTAAACAATGTTATATCAAACATTCTGTTGTATTTTTTTCAGCTAATTATACTAACAAAGTTTTAGAGTTGGTTCTTTGAGTAGCAGGCTTTACCTGAGTTAAGCCACCAATACTAAACCAACGTATAGCCACCAATCAACTTAATAGTTTTAGCCTGATTTTAATTAATTAAATATTAAATTAAATTAATTAATAAAAGAATGAGTATTGAGTACATTTTAGTTCCAAAAATATGGGCATATTATACAGGGGGTTCAGAAAAGGGTGTCACAAACTTCAGAGGCTCATAGTACTCATCAATACAAACACAAATTTTATTTAAACATAGATAGAAAAAAAATCGTTTAGCCGCTAGCCACGTTTTGTATTTTTTTACAAAACAATTTATATCTCAAGAATTATTCAAGCTGCGGAAACCAAACATTGTACCTACAATTATTGTGTATATAGGCAATAAAACGAAATAACTATGAAATATTCTTTTAAATTAACAATTCAGATTATTAATTTTATAATGGCTACCCAAAAAAGGCTAAGCCAATCAGGTTTGCCTCATTTAACGATAAAACATCTGGATATTTCAGCTATTCTTTATTTGATCTTTTTGAATGGTATTGTTTGATAGGAAATTACAAATGCCAAATAAATGTGTTTTCATCATTTTTTCATAAAGCCAGCCATTAGTAATTTAAGTTTAAAGAGTTTATATGGCCGCCGTTTTATTAATTTATTAAAAAAAATACATAGTTATTTTTTAAATGACTCCTGACACCATTATTGTAAGTGCGAAGTTTGGTTTCCGTAGCTTGAATAGTTCTTGAGATATAAATTGTTTTGTAAAAAATACAAAATGGTGGATAGCGGCTAAACAAAATTTGGTTCGAACTATGTTTATATGCACTTTTTAGTTTAGATTATTCCAAAATGAACACCCTGTATTTTTTCATGGTTTAATGTGCATATTTACAACGAAAACTTAAGAATATTACTAGTGTTAGTTACCGTGATCTTGGAGAGTCCTTGTCGTACTCTGTCGGTTACCATTTGGTGGTAGCTGCTGTTGACCAAGTTATATGTAGTAACATTCATCTTTATTAAGGCCAACTCTTTAAATGAACCGTCCAACATAATAGTTTGGGATGTCTGAGAAGAAGAAATTTTCCAGTGAGGAGATTTGGTTAGTTGGCTTCTTATTTCAGGAAGGCCGGTGACCTGCGCAAACATTCTAATTAATTAATTAAGGAATATAGATAACCTTTTTGTGTTATGTACATTGAATTTACGTGTAGTTCAGAACATTTAATGAGAAGGGGTTTTCTATTTTCTATCAATACTTTCTTTCTATAAGAAAAAAATAATGTCTTATAACACAAAACTGTACCCTCGAGATGTGTTTAAAATGAATAACCTGCTTCTAAATTGGCCGTATGTAATACTAAGGGTTCGCCAGTGATGTGTTTGTACGAAGTGGCAAAATGAGAAACACCCGGAAGATAAATCATTTCAATTTGTCTCAATAAAATAACCAACTGGAGCCATAAATACGCATAAACTTTACATTTCACACACACTTTAGCCCAGTGCTGTTGATGTTCAGTCAGGAAGATTTTAGGATAAATTTTGTTGGATCATAAAAAATACACATTTTAAAACCAACGAAGTGTTTTAGCGAAGTGTTTTACGTATAAAGTTAGCAAACACAAAAAGGGGAAAAATACTGTACACTCAACTTGCAAATACGTGTAATAAGCCATCCTTTTTAAAGAATAATGATTAACTAAATAAGAAATTACTTGAAACTACTGACCTACGGTACTATCAACACAAATATCCGAATAAATTTATTTTATAAATTGCTCATATCAAAATAATACAAATGATTAACTTAGTGAATGTATATTTTTCAAGTATACTTTGAGTTTAGAGCAATGGATTAGCGCAAAAAGGATTAACTAGTGATTTATTTCTTTGATATAGTTAAAACAACGAGGTTTTAAATATGAAAACAATTTTACTAATAACATTAGTTTTGTTCAAATGCAAATCAAAGGAAAATGGCAAACAATAACTACACGATTGGTTTTAAAGGTCGATATCAAATTTGAAAAAAATGTGTTTTAGACAATGGTATAAACAGACCTATAATCTTCAGAAAATGTATTTAGGCTTATACGTATAAACAGAAACATCTGAGTTCAGAAAGTTCTGAATTAACATAAACAATCAAGTGTCAATTTATGACACCTACTAAAATTATTTAATAACCAACATTAATCAGTTCAATGTGTCTTTGTACTTGAGCCATTATAAATCTATATTCCAATATTATACTGTAAAAATTATAGTTAGTTCTCTTTGGGAAAAAGAAAAGCTTCTAATAGATCATTTCAATTAGGTTTCAATTTCATCGTTTGACTACAAAATGTCAACTCTCAGTACAAACTTTAATACTATCCTGATATTATAAAATAAACCCAATATTTTATAATAAATAGTGAAAAATTTTAGCATTATTGACAAAGCAATAAAATATGTCTTGATACTTACAAGGCAGACAAAAGCTACCAGCAAGGAAGCTTGAATGAAAGCCATCTTGGATGAGTGAAGCTTGTTGAAGAAAGGAAAACTTTGTGGTATTACACTGTTTCAACTATTCGCCCAGATATTTATAGAAAGTTCTCAAACCCAGTTATCAGATATGAGCTGTCAACACATATCTCAATAAAGATTGTTCATGACAGTTAATTCAAAAGGAAATTCCAAGTACACATGTTAGGAAAGACCACATGGTTGATAACAGTTAATGTACTTGTCAAAAATGAATTCGAGTTATCTTCAAGATTAAACCAAACTGATGCACTAATGCAGTAATTGTTTAATTTACACTGTTTATAAGATGTCCAATTAATGGTAATACTGTGTCCATACTAATACGAGCAGGCACATGACAAAATGATATTCTACTACTGACTAAAAACATTGTTCTGTAGTGCTAAATTATATACAGACGCTTAACCTTAGTCTAATAAAAAAGACCATATTTATACGCAATACAAACCACCGTATTTATGTACCCAAGTTGAGTGTGTGCATAATGTTAATGGCAAATCAAAGGACTTCAGAATTAAAATTAATGATTTTTTTTATTTAATCAATTATCCGTCGATATGTAGTAAATAAGTTCGATTTTTCCTTCACAATTGATACAATGTCTGTACAGTTTATGGTCTTCATACTTTGCTTTGTCCTCAAACCACTATACATTGCCAGATGAATGATTTCGAAACTATTTTTCCATTTTATATCCAATAAAATTGTCAAATATTTATTTTCAAAATTATAAGGTGCCACAAAAAACTTTAAACACATGGCTCACAAATTCGGCACAAGTTTGCCCCGAGAATTTTGACAATATTATTATAATTGGAAATTAAGCTATAATAACGCTAAAGTTTAAGCTGGCGTTAAAGAAATAAAGCTAGTAGTCTGAAAATGGACAGTGAATTGACGACGACAATAAGTATATAGCCTGGATTACAGTTAACAAATATCAAATTAAATGTGAACTAGTAAAACCTTTTACCCTAAAGACCATGCATACTGCTTACACTATAATAAAAAAAACCACTCACTGATGTGTTATGTTCCTTTTTTTGTGGAAAAATATAACTAACGTTTGTAATAGTAGTTTATGCAACGATCGCATAAAGATAGCTTTAACGACACTAGTATAAATAATGTAGGGTGATTCAAAATGAATGACCCAGTTTTAACGCATTATAGCTTGTATACTATTAAACCTACTGCTATAAAATACACATCAAACGAAAAAGCAACTCAAAGAGTTTATGCCTTCCAAAGACACATCATTTAACAAAATCGATCCAGCAGAACTGTAGATTTAATTGTACAAAGTTAAAAAGTAATCTCCAACTTTTTTACCGCCAGAAATTTGGAGGTTACTGGACGTTTTTGCAAATAACTTTTAAATGGTGGGGAAATCGACCAAAGTGGAAGGTAATATTCCGAAAGAGAATAAAATTTGCTACAATCTACTATTACTGATTTTTGAAAATACTCAAGAAAGGTACCAAAAATTGCCTCAAAATGAAAAAAAATTGAAAATCCCCGTCTTCAATGTAGACAATAAACATTAAATTTCACACTTTTTTATTTTAAGCAAAATTTAGGCTACATTTATTGAGTATTTTCAAAAAAGGAAAATAATAGTAGATTATAGGAAATTTTATTCTCTTTCGGAATATTACCTTCCACTTTGGTCGATTTCCTCACCATTTAAAAGTTATTTGCAAAAACGTCAAGTAACCTCCTAATTTCTAGTGGTAAGAAAAGTTGGAGATTACTTTTTAACTTTGTACAATTAAATCTACAGTTCTGCTGGATCGATTTTGTAAAATGATGTGTCTTGGGAAGGCATAAACTCTTTGAGTTCCTTTTTCGTTTGATGTGCATTTTATAGCGGTAAGTTTATTAGTATAAAAGTTATAAAGCGCTAAAACTGGGTCATTCATTTTGAATCACCCTGATTACTAAAGTAGAATAATTATTATAAAATTAGTAGGTATTGGATATAGGTGACTGCACATAAATATTGTTTTTTCATATGTAGATTTATAGTTTTTTTTTGTTTGTTTTTTTACTCCTGAAACATAATAAACATAGTAACACAGTGAAACATAGTAATAGCATTACTCTATAACGTACGTTAATATTACTAAGTTAAATCACTGTTAAAATACGACTTTTGGATGTCATTTATCTTCAAAGGGCCTAATGGCATCACTCTACTACAATTATAATACTGTTAATGTGGAGTTTTATGTTAAATGAAAGTGCGGAAAGGCCAATCAAAAAGTTAAAGAGAAAAAGAAGAATATCGTTGATGAAAATTAAAAACCATCGTTGGTATGGGAACATATATAAGAGAATCTTTTTTCTATGATGTTTCCTTTGGAAATATTTTCTCATTATGGGGATATAGATGGACTGGCTGAAATGTAATCCTTATTTAGTCATGTAAGGATAGTAGTAGTTCAGGTTCTTTATGCGAATTCGGGGCTTTATTAAGTGGTATGAAGTTAGGTTGGATTAGGAAGGTGAAGTTCGGTTTTTAATGAACCGAGTTGTTGGTTTATGTTACGTCCAGACTGATTGCGTACAAAACGCTGGAAAATACTTCAAAAGACCGTTTGAAATACGCTCGCTTTACAAAAAATAAGTATAAATTAAAATAACAACATTAATTCGTGCATGGTGACTCTTATATCCTATCATAATTACTAGGGTATGAACCATATTAAAAGGTATGTAAAGCTTTTAAGAATTTGAATATCTTGCAAGAACTGCATTTAAATCAACCAAGGTAAATAATTATAAAATAAATATTTAACTCTGTAGCTTTAATTCTGCATTAGAGTAAACTTTATTTTCCGCTTAGGAACCACGTTTAAATTAAATTAAATTAGGAACCGCCAAACTACCTTAGTAGTACTGATTATTTTATAATAACTATATATTTTACGATGTATCAAAAGATCGATTATATATATTTTAACGGTGCATTTCAGGGCTACACATTATTTTTTGACATGTCAAAAGCTTTAAGAAAACATATTTAACTGGGAGAATATTTTAAGTCTATGTAGCTCCTGGCTTCACTTACCACATTTATTTATACTCCTTATTCATCGGTAATGAAGGAAATCATTACCGAATCATTATATTGGAAATCATTATATTGCTAAAACCAAGTATAAAAAGAACAACAAAACTTGCTGGTCTTGAAATCCATTTGCCAAGAGCTATATGTTCAGTATGCTCTCCTAAAATGTGTAAATGATTATGTATTATAAAACAGTGAACATTTTATTTTCATTGCTTGTCATGCCATGGATTACAATATTTTTTTTTATGAAAGAATGTATACAGGGTGACAAAAAAGTCTGGAAACGGTTTAATATCTTTTTCAATAAATCCGTTAGAAAATTCAAACCTTTCACATCAACTTACATGTATGAAAACTATTTTTTCCAAGCATTATCATTTTTTTTTTACCTCTACCAGGGGACGACCAGTGCTCCTGTATGGTGCGGAGGTGTGGGCAGACGCGCTCAATAAGGAGGTGTATAGGATGCGGCTTGCCAGAGTGCAGCGTCAGGCAGCACTCAGGGTAGCATCCGCCTACCGAACAGTGTCTGAACCTGCCATCTTGGTGGTTGCTGGAGTAATCCCCGTCAAACTTTTGGGGGCGGAGAGGAAAGCGATTTATCAGCGGCGTGGAGAGGACCATGCAAAAATGGAGGAGCGCAACCGCACCTACCAGCTCTGGCAGGAGAGCTGGGAACAGGAGTCGCGGGTACGCTGGACCAGGAGACTGATTCAGCAAGTCCAACCATGGGTTGACCGACGGTATGGTGAGGTGGACTATTACCTTACCCAGTTTCTGACAGGTCACGGGTTTTTTCGGTCGTACCCGTTCAGGATGGGCAAAGCCGTGTCACCCGATTGCATCTACTGCCCAGGCACTCCCGACGACGCGGAGCACACCTTCTTCCGCTGCCAGCTTTGGGAAGGTTCCCGCCTGGAGGCTGAACAACATGTAGGGCAGTTGTTGGTGGACACGGTCATTCCGATGATGACGGAGGGTGAGGACAATTGGACCTGTATGTCACATTTCGTCCAGGATATTCTCCGCACAAAGAAGCTAGAGCTTGACCGAGATGCGGTCTAGGTCATAAAGAAATGGAATGCCAGAAACGGTGCGAGCCCTGAGGGCTTAGGTCACACGTTGACCTGACCTGAAGTAATGTGACAAACAATCCCAGGTCTGTGTCCAACAGAGTAGAGGGGGTTTTTTAGTGAGTAGTCTGACAAGCTCAGGAGTCTCACACTACAGGCTGGCTACCTGTGTGCGTAAAAGCATTTTTACCTCCTCTCCCTTATAAAAAAAACCAGGGGACGACCCATGAGGAGTAGGTACATAATCTTTAATGTAAGCATAGGTTGATGTGCACATAATTTTAAAGGTCTGTCGTATTAAACATTAGCTTGAGAGCTGAAACTGTATTTTAAAGTCAACTAGCTCATAGACTAATATTATAAAATCTTCAAAACAAATTTAACCGGGTTTCAGATTTCCCGGCTAATGTTGAATATGAGTATTTACCAATACTAAGGCCTCTGCAGGTATATTCCGCAAGAACTTTGGACTGCCGCCATTTTGTAACGGATGAACCTTTTTTGACGCGGTTTCCGGCAATGAACTCCACTTGACCAGACCTTTAAAATGATGTGCATATCAACCTATGCTTACATTAAAGATTATGTACCTACTCTTCATGGGTCGTCCCCTGGTAGAGGTCAAAAAATGGAAATGCTTGCAAAAAGTAGTTATCATACATACAAGTTGATGTGAAAAGTTTGAATTTTCAAACGAATTTAGTTAAAAAGATTTCAAGCCATTTCCAGACTTTTTTGTCACCCTGTAGATACGTGTCATACTTCTTACTACTTTAAACCAGTAAATTATGTAATTCAAATTATATGAACGTACCCGTTTATTAAAATGATAATTTCTAGGAAATAATTTACGTATTTGAACTGTGCATATAAATACGTACGTGTATGATAAATGAACAGTTTCGAAATATTGTGACAGTAATTTTTCTAATTTTAAATAGTTAGTAACATTAACTAAAAGTAAGGCTTTTGCTATGTAATAAGTGTATTAATTAATGAATATTACACGGTTTCATTAACAGGGGGTAGTAAAATGCCAATGGTCAAATTAAATGTTTAACCGAACAAATGTTTTATGTTATAAACTATGAAAAAATAATTTAGGAAAACTTGATATGAATGTTTATAGGCATGTTTGTTACAATTATCAACATGCAACAATAACAATGTATATTTCATTTTAGTTATATAAAAAAAATCTGATCACTTTACCAATACAAAATCATTACAAAATTGTCTTTTCAAAATGCATTTAACATATACTTTTACCCTTATAATTTAAAACCCATTAATAATTCTGAATATTCAACATTTATTTTAAAAATAAATGGTGACGTTACATTATAATATTGTTAAGTTAAAACATTTTTATCATTTCAGTTTAGGTTTTTTCTTATGACGCCAAGGAAAATTTTTTATCTCATTTTCTTCTTAAAACACCTGTCATCCAGTCACTTTTAAATTTGGGGAAAACGTGTTTCCCAAATCACTTAAAGTGAAGTAGACTAAGATAGTGGTGAAGGTGAAGGCTAGGATAATGGGACAGGCTACTTGAAACTGTCAGATTGATACTATAAGAACGTTTAACTCTACCCATATGTTTATAATATTGTAGAACTTCAACATCAGAAGAAGCAGCCATGGCATTCTCCACAGGACTTTTCTGTTTTACTCTTGCGTTCATTGTAAGTTTTACCATAACCAAAAAATATATAGTATAAAACAATATATAGTATAAAACAAAATTGATAAAATTATTTTCTCTATATTATTTTTTTTTTGTCATATTAAAGGTCAGTTTAATTTTCAGACTAGAATACTTGTTTGGTTAGGTGGTTTACTTAGTCATTAGTTAGGTTAGTTTGCTTAGTTAAAAGGTCTAATCGGTTTTCCTTCAACTAAATTTATTTTATTTTGGAAAGGAATAACATGAAGTATAGTATCAGTATTTTTATTGTTTACATTAATTTTAGAAAATTGCAAATACTTTCGAATAGTTGACAGTACTTGAAGTAATAATAAACTTGACTAGGGCAATGAGGAAAAAAGTTTCTGTTAATATTTAAAACTTATACGAACAAGGCTCCTTGTAATATGGTTTATATAAGAGTCTGAAACACATGTATAACTACTTAAAACTAAATTGGTAAATGCAAAAACAATCAACTTTTCATCTATGGAACGGGTATCTTCCGGATTATCATGATACACTAAAAGTGGTTTAAATATATGTAATGTTGATAACCCAAATGGTTGTTTACAACTATTTTTGCCTCACAATGGAGCCATCATCAGGTTTTGCAAGGACATTGTCACCTGGGCAGTCTAGACGTAAACTTCCAGCGGTCGCGTCGTTAAAGCTAGGCCTAGTCATATATGTTGTGTGTATTCTATGTGATCGATGTTTTGTAAATATTTATGAACTTTGACGCCCTTCAGAAGAAGCGATAATATCCTTGCAAAACCTGATGGTGGATACATTGCAAGCAAAAACCAGTTGTAACAAAACCATTTGGATTATCAACAGTACAGGTATTTAAACCACTTTTTATCAGTTTTTATGTAGAATCAACCAGTTATTGTTTAGTGTGTTTGATCTAAATGTGATAATTAAGTAAATATCTTCAAGCAATGTTGTCTTACATTTTATTGATATTATTTCTGTATACATGATTATTCACTAGGAATTTAAGTTCACTGTAGAAGTTATGTTAACTAAACCTATATCAACAAAACTTAATCATTCTGAAATCGCACCTATCCAGTTCTCAATAAAGGTAAAGCAAGATTAAGAATTAGTTCAGGCCAGATCCAAAGCCGGTGGGTTAAAGGGTTAATATTTAAATCTGATAGTTGCTGGATCGATCTGAATTAGGAATTTTTTCTATACCCAGAGGTTAAGCTACCAACCAATGATGATACATAATAGAAGGTTTGCGCTTCATAGTCACAGGCCGGCTTTTGGACCGTACAAAGTCTAAGAATTCCAATCGAATCCTATGAAAGCTAGGGATAAAATAATATCAAACCTTAGACTAATCATTCCAAACTTTGTATTTCTGTCAACTAATTAATTAGTAGTATTATATTTTTTTACTTTAAGCAGTAACATTTTTACTAAACCATCACTTTCACTCAGGTCTACGTTCAATGTGTCCCGATGGGTCTACCAGACGTAGACTCTGAGACAGTCGAGAAGGGCTACAAACTTGTATCTCTATACAACACGACCTCCTCCTACTACAACGGCTCTGACCTGGTAAACCCTCTGTACAAAACTGTACTGAGAGTCGCAACATACAGTAATTCCGAACACAACTTGACTGACGTCACTTATGCCATGAAGGACAAGGTCTCAGCTCTACCAGTAAGTCTTCAGAATACATTAGCATATATTTTAAATTTGGTACATTTAACTTGATATTACTATATTTTGATTATAAGTTCGTTCTTCAGAAAGTTCTGGAGATGAGCATATTAAAGTGCAGAAGTTAACATATAAGTGTATAAATGCCAGTTTTATACACGCATTATGATTTGCTCTTAAAGATAACACCGTGAACAACGATTTTACTGTAACTTAAATCATAATTAGATGTTTCTCTTCTTGATTTTGATCCTACAATATAAAAAATACCATATCAATCAAATTTACAATAACGCATCGTTCTAGATCGGTATTGTCTAAAAAAAGTATTAAAACATGAATTTTATGTTTCACGTTGTGTTTACATTAAACACATAGTAATTAGGGTTTTAATATTGTAAATGTGTTTCTAAAAAAAAAAAATACAACTGTAGAATTGTTGAGTGAACTATTGGACAAACAAAGAACACTTGTTGCAGCTTCTCGATTTCTTCATTTTTTCACTGGGTTGGATAAAAAGTATAAATGATTAAAACTTTCTTTTTATGTTTAAGCTCAAGAAATGTTTTTTTTTCCAACGGTTTTATTTAATTTTATAGAATTTCAGCAGAGTCTTGAACTTTACATTCCTGTAAAATTAAATAACCGAGCTTAATTAAATAACTGTAACTGCAACCGTTGCCGCTTTGGGAATGTTTTGAATCAACTTATAAAATTGTTTGCTTACTATAACTTACTCATATATAGCCTACATTTGGCATTTTCTTAGACATAAAGCAACCTTATCCAACAACTTAAGACAGTTTCAAGGTATGTGTCTAAGCACTACATTCAAGATTATTTTTAAACTAATCGAATGGATTCGGAAATTAAATGCCAAATAAACCCAGTTTTAGATTTTTAAACGAATAAAGTACATTTTAATACCAAAGTCGACGGTGATACAATCATAATGTAAGACTTTTCATTAAATCTCAATATAACTAAAGGCCAAAACTTTACAAAGCTTGCTTGTTTTATCACTTGATAATTCCACTTCAAAATCATTTCTAATACATAATTATGAACAATATATTGAACTATGTATTACTTTAGCTAAGAGATTGTATGTTGTTTCCAGTCTGCTCCCCAGTATGTACCAGGGGGTGTCGCAGACAGCAACGGAAAAGGGTTTGTCTTGATTTCCTATCACAACGAATCACTATTCATAGAGACCGGGCCCAGGCCAGTAGTTGATTCTATCACTCAACTGGAGTACGAAGTTTGGGCACGCCAGTGAAGACTCTTCTTTTATGATGAATAATTTCAGAAATTAAAACTTAAAATACTACACTAATGTTTTCAATTATAACCCTAGAAAGAGCCTCTATCTTTCATTTTTGAGCGAATTTCCCATATAGGGAATAAGCTATTACCGTAGTACTCATGGTAAGACCTGGACCTGGGACCGATTTACTTTTTAGTTTTGAGGTCTATAGAGGCCAAAAACACCATCAGTTCCAATGCATATACCCTTAAAGCCCTTCACAAAGTAAACCCACATCAAAACCCTAAATGCAACCAACTGACTTAAAGAAATTCTGAATTGGCTCACCAGTTGGTACTGAAAACAAAGTTCCCCTCTGGTTTAAATTTAAGATAGTAAAAAAGTGGTTCAACTCAGCTGAATTTTAATTTTCTTTTAGGCTGATTTCATTATTTTCTTTTATCTGTACTCAATCATATGTTCTCAAAATTCAACTATTTGTAAACAGTTCATATTTATTTTTATTGTTCATTTTTACATTTTTCATTAATTTCTCTTTGCTTGAAAACGTTTGTATTAAACGAAAATTTGCAATGTTCAATGTTTCATTTATCATAAACTCTATCAAGATCTCCTCAAAAATATATATATATTTATATATAAGTGTCTGTTAGCGTGATAACTCGAGCAAAAATGATCTGATTTTGATTAAATTTGGTATATACTTGTAAACCTACATTTATTCGAAGGAGTTTGCGAACCAGCATGATCGTAATCGGGCTATGGGAACAGGGGTTTGTGGGGGGTTTTACGGGATATAAATAGGTTTTTCCAATTTTTGACCCTAAAAATTAAAAATTTTACAATTTCTTTCCTAACCATTTGTAGAGCATAAAAACAAATAATTTAGTATATTGAAGCGTTATTGTGCGCCTAATGGTTGTGAAAAAATTCCAAAAATTGTAAATTTAAAATTCCCATGTTATTCTTATGGAGAATAAGTCAACTGTTGTAGTTTGCTTGTTTATGAACATGTTTTGGTCGAATTTGAAAAAATTCATTCATTTCTTACTAAACTATTTTACTATTTTACAACAACAAAAACTTGTTTACCCTCCCTGTTGCAGCAAACCTAAGTACTTGTTGAAATAGTTCTATTATTTAAGGAATAAAATAAATGTGATATTTTTAAGGAGGCATTTTAGTGTAAAACCAATCAGGCGAATGGAAATTTACTTAGTCTGCAGGTTTGCTGCGGCGGGGGTATTTATTATTAGAAATAATACTTAGCTATATTTTTTTAGTTAATTTAAACGTATACCGTTATTTTCTTGTTTGAAAGAGTTTCAAGCTTGAGTCATCTTTAAATTTATCTGCTATTCAACAGACAATCAGGTTGAAATTTAAATGAATATTTTTTTAAGGGATCATACTCTATGTGAAACGTTTTACGTATGATTTCTTAAATATGTGTTTAAAATATAGCTTAAAGAAATGCTTTAACAGTTTGGTAAAAACGCATGGATAGTTTTTTTCTTAATCTAAAATAAATCACAAAGTAGTTTGTTGCTATGTTTTATCAATTTATTTTAGAATCATGATAATGGTGTGAAATAAATTATTTCCTTTAACTATTCGATTAATAAGAACCAGCTTCTGATACAACAAACAGTTTTCCATTAACAAATATCCTAAAGAAACTTGAAACTGGATTATAAATATTTATTTTTGTTAAGAGGCTAACCTAACACAGGTAACCTAATCAAACATGGTGCATGAGACACAGAACATTCCAAAGGCTCAGTGCTATTAGAAGGCCTTTGTTAAACGGCCTCACATAACTTGTAATGTTATTTCCAACTTTGACCCGTGATTTACTTAACTCTGCTCTGAGATTTAGAATTATCTTTGTAATTAAATCAATGTATCTCTTAAAAGAATCAGTGGGCTGTTTGGAATGTATTTAAACAATTTATACAAGGCTTTTAATAAAATATGTTTCTTTTCTCCCCTCCCCCTTTTATTAGCTAATGTTCTGCGACAAGATAAAGTCGTTGATTCAAACCTCTGTGCCACACTTATAAGTCTCATCAAGAATACTGTAGAACTACCTTTAAACAAATGAAATTTACTTGGTTTTAGTAATTTCAGTCCCTATTGCTAATAAAACAAATTAAGCTTGGCAAAGCTTAACTTTCTTAAAACAATTTTAGAGCTAGATGAAACAGATATTAGTCATATAATTAGGCAAAATTAAATTTGTTTACTGTATTTTCGATGTTTAAAATTTAATATAAAGTAGAATCATTTTAAATTAATAATCATACCACTCAGTTAAGAATATTAAACCAGCCGTATTTTTGTGTAGATAAAATAAAACAAATTAGAAATTGAGTTAATGCTTGTTAACACTAAACAACAAACACAACACCACTGACACACACTGAAATACCCCCGCCGCAGCAAGCCTGCAGACTAAGCGAATTTACATTAGCCTGAATTGATTTACACTAAAATGCCTCCTTAAACATATCACATTTATTCCCTACGGATATATTTTGATAAAACTTGGTAAATTTATTTATTTTATACTGAGCTATTAATATTTTAATAAAAAACACACTTTATTAGTTTCCCTGTAACAGCAATCCTAGGTACTCGTAAAGGTAGGTACTCGTTAGGTACGGTAAACATAATGTTTGATTAATAGATATAATTGAAAATCAATTCAGGCAGATGGAATTCGCTTGGTCGGCAGGTTTGCTGTGGCGGGGGTATTGTATGAATAAAGGTTTTTTAGGCCAGTTTGATATCAAAATTGTATTGGATTCTTAACAGAACTAAGTGTACATAGGGCAGAATTGATGTTTTTACAGGCATTGCGAAAAACGTTGAAAAAAATGAACGTTTGAAAGATAAAAAAAGTAAAATACTACTAACACATATGCCTGGTAATCATTTTGTTGTAGGCCTATACTGTTATGATGTTACGTGTGTTGAAGATAGTATGTTTAGGAATAATATATTTGTTGTATTCAAAATACACAAACTATTCGTTATCGACATGTTTTAGTACTCAATATGGACTAAGTTTTTCTTCAGCTCGAAACTATATAAAAAAGGTTAGTTAATTGAGATACTTTAGACTTGGACCAGACATCCTAAAACTTACAGAATCTTTTCAGGAGCGACTGATTCTGAATATAGGGAGAAAGAAATCGAATAAATAAAAATATATTGTATAAAACTTATAGTTTATACTGTATATATGTTTAAAATTTCTACATTTTATATATCTGTGGTTTTGTATAGTCTATAGCTGACTTAAAAATAGTCTTTGAGACAAAACCTGTTTAGGGCTTTTCACTGACAACAAAAAAAAGGTTTTAGTGTTTAAAAACGATTGAATAATATATAGTATTGAACAAAATATACTATGTGTTAAAATATTACACGATGAGTTATTGTTTTGGGTTAGGGCAGTGCATCCCGAACAAGCACTATTACCTGTTATCAGATGTCTGGTTTGTAATGACTATAATTACAGGATGCTTTGTTATACGAGATTAGCTGGCTATAAAGGTTTATGGCACAAACTTGCAATAGATACCAACTATCCATGCAACAATGGTTAGTAAGCTTATTGGTTATTATTACACTGAGGCGTATGCGTTTACTAGATATCCAATAACGTCCATAAATATCTCAATGTAAGTCATAAATTGAATCAGGCCATAATAGAATACAATGTACTGCATTCTTTGTGTTTTCGTAGTAAACCTTTCAATAGTTAGTTATGTTATAGTAGTGTACGCAACGATTGCGTAAAGCTTGTGTTAGCGACACGAGTAGGAAATTTTAGGTACGAGCTTTGGCGAGTGCCTTAAAAACGTATACGAGTGTTGTTAACACTATTTAGGCGAGGTGCGTACACTGTGACCTACGACAGTGTTTTAATTACTAAAAGTCGTCTTGATGATTAGTTTAAGATTTTAAAAAGTATAATACTACTGACACAAATACCTAATAATAGTTTTGTTGTAGGCCTATACAGTTATCATGTTACTTTTAGTTTGTACATATATAAATAAAGAAACCTGTAAACATACATATAAACTAAATGAGTAGTTCATAACCTCTAAGAGCGGTTATGTTTTCGTTTATAAAGTCATTGCCACTGAGTGTGATGTAACGATACATTCTACCAAACGTTAATTGCACCAATCAACAATTAAATTGGCCTGAACAGCTGATTAGTTGAAGTTCGATTCATTACACTTTTACTTCTTCTCTCTCAATCCTTGAACCTCATTGGTCAGTTCCCCGTGTTGCTGTTATGAAAGTAAACAATTCTGTTATGTAAAACTTTTCAATTCAAAAAAAAACTAAACTGAAACGGCTGTTAAAAAAAACGGTTGTAGGTAAAGGTTTTACAAATACAGTAATATTATTACTTCTTCTGAAAGCTAAATTAATGTTTAACTCAAGCAAATTCTTATTTAACTTGTGTAAACCCAAGCAGATGTCTGTCTCATAATTTGTGTTTCTCTTAATCATCTGAAAAACATTGCAAGCGCCCAACGTGATATTTTTGGTTGACGTTTCATCCTAGGCCAATTAAATGTTAACATCAACAAATACCAACATGGAAAACACAGTTAATTGACTATGTAAATTGGCAATTAGATTACTCAGAACCAGCAATTCTTGATTATCTATCTCTGACAAGTTTGGACTGTAATATTGTATCTCTAATTTAAAACACTTTTATTTTACTCCATATACCTAGTACAGCTTTTTCTATTTATTATACTTCACTAATTGCATTTCATCCCGTTGACCTGTTTTTTCTCTCGAGTTTATATTGAAAACAGTATACATATTAAAACTATACACTAGCATTAAACTTGATCTGAGTTAGTTATAGAGTACGAATCACGATTACTAGAAAAATACCGGTATGGATCATAAACATAAACAAATGACGTTGTTGGCCCGAATCCTATACTAATAGCATTGACCATATGTTTTGGCAGTTCCATTTAAGCAATGTTAAATAATGTTTATTTTCGGCCCAAAAACGT